AAAAATTACATTTAAAGCTTCAATGCAGATTCTATATAATATCAGTACTGAATAGTGGATCATGGCAACGTAGAGTGTCAATAATGAACGTCCGGAAAGACATCGTCTGCGTCTAATGTTCCGGCAAATTGGCTTCGCGAATGTAGCCTCGCGAGTCGTCTCCCAGGAGGAATCTGCAAGTACGAGCGGAAGATTCTTCTCGTTGCGCCGATTTTTTTCTCCGTAAGTACGTCACGTCTCGACGATACCGGGGGATATATCCGTCCGCGCGCGCCTCGTGCGCCGAAATCGGCTCCGTTTCGCGAAGCCAGCCAACCCCATAACTGGGAGAATTTGTAAGGAAGCGAGAGACACACGAAGATCCTCTCTTCACAATCGCGCACGTAAACGCTCTCGTGGCTGCGTAAAATTGTCCGGAAAGAAGGGAGATATACAGCCGAGGAAAAAAAAAAGATTGTGGTGAGTCAAACTAGTTGGCGTTCAGAGGTTGAAGTAAAAGATACATCGAGAGAGACAGTCGCTATGATAAAACGTTAAAAAACTACGTAACGTCTCTCGTAATTTTGTTGTACAGCTTATAAATTACTTTCCAATTTGTTTAAACGTACTTTGCCGTAAATTACACTGAAAAATGGAAATCTTGCGCTGCGTTTTTGTCGGAAGGAAAGATATCCCCGGGGAAGAAGAACGTAAATTAGGATTCGAGAGAAAGAAATCGACGAGAGGTATCGCGAATCGATTCGTTTCGCGCCACTTACGTGATGCGCCTCCGGTCTCTCGCGCAAAAGGTCGCGTATAACGAGCCGCGATTTAAATACGCGCCTTCAATCGTCCACAATGGGGACGTCGGGGCGGCGGGTATTTAAAGAAATATTTTAATTGCAGGACGTAAGCCGCTTACGTGTCCCCCTCCTCTCGTGTACGTTAATAAAAACAGCCCCACCCGCCTATTTCAAGAAAGCGGCTCGCGTTGCGTGACCCCGTGGAAAGTAATTCGACCTCCTCTCGTTTCGCTCGGCCAAAAATTATTCGCCCGGCGCACCACCCTCGCTTAGGAAGAGAAAAGCGGCTCGATTAGAAATCGTAATTCCGGATTAAACGGCTCCTTTCGTAACTAAAAGATATAACATGTAGTTCTCGCTTGGCGAGACTTTATAAACCTCTCTCTCTACCAAATATTAAATCAGATACCGCAAGATTTTCGGTTTACAGAGAATTGTGAGTTTCTCTATTCAAGTTTTTTTATTGCGAGAAAAAAAATTATATTAATCGTCGCTTTAACGTCCCTCTTTTTCAGCTGAAAGTCCATCACATTTTCCAGCACGATCGTTTTTATAATACAGCCATGCGCACGTGATGCACGTCTGTATAAAATCGCGCTGGCCGTCCCGAGGGAAGTCGATTTAAGCTCTCTGTGGTAAGCGTCCGGCCACGGCTGTGAAGGAGGAACGTATAAAAGAAGCGGGCGCCTCTGTAATTGGGCATCAAAAGGCGATATTTCGCGCGTTCGCCGACGACCACCTTCCCGATGGGAGAAGAGGAAGATCCAGCCGCGGCGACCCGGGCTCGCTCTCGTGGATCCCCGCGATACCACGTGGCCGCCGAACCGCGAGGGGATGGCCTTTTACGATAGGGTCGGTTCTACCCCCCCCGAACAGAATGATGATAGTATGCCTTGTTACCGCGGCCGCGCCGAGAAGAGAAGTCGCGCTCCCCCGGGTAATATCGCATACAATTATGTCCACAGAAGGGAAGACACACATGCATTATGGATGCGGTATGCCCGTACCCCCGCTGTACGTTACCTTCCTTCCCCCCCCCCCCCCCCCCCCCCCGGTAAATCATGTCACAGGGTTGGTTAACTCTGCAAATGATCTGAAGCGTTGCGCGCCTCGTCGGCCACCCAATCTTTTTTTTCTCTCTTATTCCAATTTCTTTTTTGCTCTCGCGATTACATTTCTGTATAACAACTGAAATACATTTTTTAAAAAAAAGAAAGAAATTTGTTAAGATGTATAATGGGCGTAAGATTAATTAGATAACCGAGTACGATTAAAAAATATGCAGTTCTACGTCACGATAATAATAAAATATTGTATTGTGAATATAATTAGGGAATAAAGCGACACGATAATTAAATCTCTCAAATTTCGGTATCAAATTTTAGAATCACATCAACTAAAATTATAGATAATCATTATTAAAATCTTTGCATTACTTGAAGCAGACATTTCAAATAATCGAATCAATAATAATCAGTACAAAAGAAACAAAAAGAATAGAAGAATAATTTAACGGTGTATCAACACACAATTAACGTTTAATTGTATATAAAGATAAGTACGGAAACAGAAAATATTCGAAGTGCGGAATAAAATCGACGTCGTGACATAGAGCACACTTTATTTCTCAATTAGTATTATAATAATCATTTAGCATTGACCGAAATCGAATATATATATATCGTATATTTTTCTTCAATCGAGTTCAATATAATCGTAGTAGATTAATTTATTACCAATACAAGTGTAATTAATCGTAATGTATTGTCTGAAAGTATCACTGTGTTGCATCCACTGGTCGCCCCCTTCGCACTTCGTCAAAACGGGGATCAACGGGAAACGGCTCGGGGCGGGGGGTGCGTCCGGGGAGGGCAGGATATTGTCGAGAGGGCACCGATTTTTCTTTTTCTAATAACGCATCTCGTGTCTCCCGCAGATCCCGGATTTTCTGGCGCTTACAAAATATAAGTGGGCCCGGGACACTTCGAGAAACGCGAGATTCGTGCCGATCCCACACGCATACGTGTGCAGGAAGTCGGAGAGACATTTACGTACAGAGGAGAATGCGAGGAAGGAAAAATAGAAAAGAGAGAGAGAGAGAGAGAGAGAGAGAGAGAGAGAGAGAGAGAGAGAGCAAGAAGAAGGTAGGGAAAGTGGGAAAACACCAGAAGCTCCTATCTCCGTGACCAAGGATGCTCAGTGATTTTTTTTTTGCGGGGATCGATAGATCCGGCGCGTCCGCTCGATCCCCAAATAGATTAGATTACAATTAGAACGCGGAGAGCTCGTCATGCTCGCCCGAGAAGCACGCGTTTATATTAAAATCTTTAAAATATTTCAATATATAATTGTCCACATTTGTTTTCACCTCTCTTTTAAATACATATTCGAATACAACAAATAAAATGCAGTGACTCGTATAGATTCAGACGAAGTTAAGTAAAGCATTATCCATATTATTTCCAAGATAGTGAGTGAATTTTAACAGAATTATTATATTAATGCAACAATTTTTTCAGTACACTTTATAAAATATAAATAAATATCTACGAAATATTTAAAAACAATATACAATAAAAATTGACTATACACAAAAGTCCGAGCAGTTTAATAAGCGATTTAAATCTCCTTTCGAAATTATCTTAGATCGCGGAGAGCTATACAAATATAATATAAAAATTATATTAAGTGAAATAAAAACGCGTGTTTCTCGTGCGAAGACGCGCGAACTCGTCGCTGAACAATATTCAACATTTAACAATAGCCAACATTTATAGAATAAGATACCGATTTTAGTATTTATCGTTAAGTTCATTCTCTCTCGCGATCGCGCCAATCTCGCCGCCTCTTTTTTCGTGTTTCTCCTTCTTCCTCTTCATCCGCCATGCCAGATTGCGCGAACCGGTCCACGAACAATCGAACGCAAAGCACGGACCGACGCGATATATATAAATTAACATAGTATATCACGCAGTAATATAAATTTCTTCCCGCACAAGTAGTAATAGCATATATATTGTATATTTCTCTCTCTTCTTCCCCCAGTACAGTGTTTCTCAAATTTATTTCTTCCCATTGCCGATCAGCGAGAATTATCGATCAGGAGCGGTTTTGTAAGAGTAATTGAGAATATTTAAGCTCGGGTCCTGCAACTAATCAAGCGATCCCCATAAGTCCATTCCTGAAATGTTCGTGACTGCACATAGTATCACAAAGATACCGCCACTTCCTTCTGTTTTAAATGTGCAATTGTCTAATTAGGATGCTGTTTTAAAAGATTGACTTTAAATTAAGATTTTAAGCTATACATCTCTAATTATTTTATTTAAAATATACCTCATTTACTAAAATTTATTAAAATTGTATTAAATATTAATTCGTGAAAATAATTAGGTTTTGCTAGGTTTTCGAAAACTACTAACATGTTGTCTAGTATCCATATATCTCAATACTGGAAATATCTTATTAATTGCGTAAAATGCCGTAGAATAAAAAAATTAAATTTTTGTCTAATTTCCATTGTTCACTGGGGACCTTGAAATTATTAGCTCCGGACCCTGAACAATCATCATCCGCCCTTAATTCTCTACGCGAGATAATCAGCGTTTTATTGCTATCGTTCTAATTGACAAAGCTTCACCAGTCTCTCATTATATAAACAAAAATCATGATCCCACTGTGATCGAGCTGTGAGGGGTCGAAGTTGTTTCTACTAATCTCCGGTTATTCGCATCAGAAATTTAATGACCAATTTTTTACCTTCTCTAATTTAGATTTCTGTTATTATATATAATGCAAGGTTGATTAAAAATTAAACACGTTAATATTATTTATTTGCAAGATAAATTAAATCTTATTAATTTCAACTATCGTTATCTATTTTGTGTTATTGTATTATTAATATTGCAGCTCGGTAATTAATTTCTGCCCATCGACGAATGCTGGGCGATAATTTCGAACCGTATCGTGCATGTTTATTCATATCCAATTCATATTCTATTTCGCGCAAATTTAAGGAGCTTCCAGAAAGTAATTCCATCATACGGTGACGCACAAACTACACCATGCGAATAACCGAGAGTAAAAATCGTCATTTCCGATGTTCACGTCCGTTCGATGCGGATTTATCGCTTCGCATCGGACAAGATCGTTGGAACGAAAGTGATTCGTAGGTTTCGACATAGTTCGAATCGCCTTTACACAAGAGAAAAATTAATACAAACTTCTAGCAGATTACACCCTTCATGCCCATTAATTAACAGATGTGGTTATCAGTCATATTCGATACAATCGCCCTTTACTTTTTCGCCCCTCCCTCTGTGCCCCCGTAAATCTTCGCGATGTTTTGAGAAACACTGATCCAGCGATGGCCCCCACCGGCTAAACACCGATGATGTTAAACTCTTAATATTGCACAACATCGATAACACCTCGAGTTCCGAAAGGGATTTCGTTTTATCTCACAGCGATAATAGTGTAGAGGTGAAACTTGCATGCGGACCTCTTTTTTTCCACGTTCCACGACTTGTCCTCCGTTTATTAGTTGACGTCCGTCTCAAGTAAGGACTTAACTGGCGACGGTGATAGCAGCAAGTGATAACATCGGTAGTACGTTAATCGATATAGCGATCATAAACTTTAATTATGTTAAACGTGAACGAACGTGCCCTTCGTTATCGGCGTATCGCTCTGCGGGACAAAGAACATTCTCCGATTTGACTGCATCTCTACTACAACTACGTCACTTTAATACTCGCATTATAGGTGTTCTAATTCCAACGGAATGTAAGAGATTATCACTAATTTAAGCCATCCGACTTTCTTCATATCGCGCTACACTACGTACGCGAAAATTCTATCATTTTCTTAAAAATTCTTTAGCTCTACAATCTATTTGGAGAATCTTACGTTACCGTTCGAAAAGTAATTTAATGAACGGCACAAATTATTTGAAAAAGCTGAAACGCTACGAAATCAGATTATCCTACGTCCCCTGCGTATCTGTGTCTTATATCCTATTAACGGCACACTCAATTCGGAAAATGTCCCGAGTCTGAAATCCTTCGATTTAATAGAATCTCGTTCTGAATTCAATGTATATGTATAATCAAGAACGTTTTGCCAGTGCGGCGATTACAATGATATAATAATGACAATAAAATATATGAACAATGATAATGAACAGATAACGCGGTCGGATTTCGCCGTCGCCTCTATCGACAATATGTATACGTGTAAGTAATATACTCTAGTGTCATTACATTATGCTTAGCTGATATCTCGCTCGAAGATTTACCTAAAATCCACGTGGCAACAAATAACCAAGTTCCTTAATTACTTTCATTGTTCTGGCGGTTGAACTCTCATACAAAGTCAGAAAAAGGGGGGGAAAGGAAATCTGACGTCAGGACGCTGCGAAAGTATAATTGTTGCCGGGCGCTCATGTAAAACATACTTGATGTATAAACGTTCTGGGTTAAACGGGAAGTTTCTTACTCCTCATTCTTGTTTTACTCTTGCGCTGTGTTCGAAAGTTAATAATTAATTAAAACTATTGCGTCTGGCCATTTTTCAAACATACGAAAAACGATATTTACATTCTAAATAATTAATTAAAATGTTTTTTAAGGCGATGCAAATTATGTAAAAAATATCGTAAAGAATGTCGAAAAAGTTTCGGGCGTGTTGAAAATTTAATAAAAAAACGAAATTTAAAAGATTGTAAATATTAATATAAAAAATTAAAAAATGTATTATTTTTCACAATTTCACATAGTTTTAAAAGAGTATTAATATTTCTGCTACAGAAAAAATCTTTCATTATCTTTGTTCCGAAACTGTCACAGCTAAATATTTCAATAATCATCGAGTATTTTTCTGCAATTAAAAATAAATGTGAAATAGTAGTATAGTCACGCGAATACAAAAGACAGTTGATTGAACGTTTCCAATAAATTGATTTTCCATTTTCTCCAAGTTTTGTTTTATCATCAACATCGACCCGGAAGTTTTCTGACAACCGAATTGGATCGTCACTGTCAAAAACAATCAATGCCAGCAACTGTAACATCTATAACAATCACAGATAATGATTTCGTGGAAGAGATTTGCCGCCATTTCGAGGTTCGCTTAAAGTAAATCCTAAACTTCTAGCTAGTATCACCTAGCAATTAATAAAAAAAGGAAAAACTGTGAAAACGAAGAACGAACGGTAAGCAGCCGAAAGAACGGTCGTTTCGACTGAGGAATGGAAATACGAATTGCGGTAACATTATTATTATATATACGAGTACATTACACGAATAACGAGTTTGCTGCGTCGCGCGGACCGACGCAAAACATGTGCCTCGGTTGAATGATCGAACTCTCGCGAGGAAAGCCACTTAAATTAATTAAGATGATAAATGAGAGTTATGAAGAAACTTATACGCGACTTAGTGGCCAAGAATTCTTTGCGAATGGAGGGCGAGTAAGTAGAGCGGAATAAGACTGCTCCAGCCGCATTAAAATTCACTCTCACGTAACAATTATGTATGTAACAATTAAAAATGCAACAGTTAAAGAAGAATCTCAAGATCACTTAATAGTGTCTTTTATACTGGAAGCTTAATGACTTCTTTTCTAGATTATTATGACATTACTTTATTGAATTATCTAGTACTGATTAGCAATTCGAATTATTCTCTCTTTGATATTAATAATTATATTATTAATATTAATATTAATAATATAAGTATTAAGCGAAGATATAATCAGAATTGACGCCAATTTCGACACAATGAAGTAATGCTAAAGCTAGAAGCCTCCACTTATCTTAACGAGGAATTTAATAACGGCTGGAGTAATCTCACCCTGTCCGAAATCCACAAGCGATACATAATATCCGGACGAAAGTGTAGTTTGCAACAGAACAAACAGAGCGCCGAGTTATCGGCTCGTTACCGAAACGATACAATACTTTCGGCGGTGAAACTAATTAAATGCCAAAAAGGGAACTATCGGAAAATTCGCGCGCTCCGCCATAAATCGTTTCACGCTAGGCTCGATTTTCTTCTTTTGTGCACTCGAACTGTATTTGAAAATATCTCGAAAGCATCTCAACGAGACGGAAGATAATGTAGAAAAGTAGATGAGGAGAGAGCCGCCCTTGACAGTGAACTGCTATCGTAGGTACTTTGATGTGTCTGAGTGTTTGTATATGCGTATGTGTATATATATAATATATATATATGTATGTATTAATACAGGTTTCTGCGTGTCTGTATACGTATAATACGTCTATATGTATCTATGCATTCGTGTGCATGTGTATTTCTGCGCGCGCGGTCCTTACGTCAATAAAATACACTATAACATTATATATATATACATTAATATGCGTAACAGGTCTATTCTCGGGGGGAGGGTGGTCTATGGGGAAGGAGGTCTCCGTATAGCTGGCGGGGAGAAAGGTCTAGAGAAACTCGGGATTGTGTCTTGGACGTAAGCTTGAAATCGCAACGTAAGTGACAATAGATAGGTAAGATATGTCGTCGAAAAATCGTCTAGGTTTTTTAGGCTAGCTGGAGAGCAGAATAATCCTGTAATGGTAGACGCTAGTGAACGAATACGCAGGGTCTTTGGCTTCAAAATGCGCGGCGTCCTCTTAGGGTAATGGCACTACGACCTGCACGTAGGTCACGGGGAAGTAACCGGTGCGGCCGTCCAGGCTGCCCTCGAACCAATTGTCGTCGATCTTCTGGGTCAAGGTGATCGTGTCGTTCTCCTGCAAAGCAGATGATGTTAAGATACAAACCTCGTCAATCGTTCGCTTCTAAAGAGATCAAGAATCCGAGTAATAAAGGTTCCGGTTGATCGAAGGGATTGGAACAAAAACGAATCAAATTCGTAATAAACAAGATTTAAGTATTATAAAATCGTGAAATAGATTTTTTTAAATTGTTTGAAAAGATAGAATATCTTTATGCAATTGTCTGAAGAATATTAAACATTTTTTAAATGTTTTTTAGACTTTTTTGAACAACGGCTCAGGCTTTCGGCGAATAATATCGCATGAGCTTACCTTAAATCCAAGTTCACCGGGATTCTCAGGCTCGAAGTCGTACAGGGCTGTGCAGCACGGCGATCTCTGTGTCAACGGCGTTCTCGCTGGCGATTTGCTCGGCGAGGGCAAGGGTGAAGCTGAAAATAGTCAGCACGAGTGTGCTAAACTGCTAAAAGCCGCGCTAATCTAACGTAAAAAAAAAAACACGTCGCAGTGTGCGTATCGCATCATACGTTCAAACTACACACTCAACAATCTGCCTTGGTGGTTATGAAACCATCTCACGCGGAAAAACCGTGTTGCACAAAGCAGCAGTGTGTAATGTCGATTTCTTTCTAAATGCGAAAATAAAACGTGGCCCAAAACGTTCGAGGATACAATTAAAGCCCTCGAGTGAAATCAATGCTTAATCATCAATAGAAGCTGCGTGAGCTAATTGAAATCTTTGCGGCAGAAGGAGACAATTCTTTCAATTTCTACATTATTTGTCTGAAATATCTTAAAGAAAAATATGAAATTTTTCAAAAAAATTATCACTTCTAAAACTAAAAAAAATAGTCAAGTTAAAATACAGGAAAGATTATGTTCCCATATGTTATCAGAAATATTTTACAAAATTGAAATAAATACTTAAATATAAATCTAATTATAATACTTGTAATTTAGTAAAATTTGTACGAATCACTATGTTCCTTCTTGCTCAACTTGGATTTCATTCGATTCATTCGATCTAAAAACTATTCAGCGCAACCCTCTTCTACAGGGTGGCACGACACTATCTAATAAACGTGCATAGTGATCAGTCATCAGCGTCGTTATAGAAAGCGGTGGAAAATCTCATCGAAAGAAAAAGAGAAAGAAGAAAATTGCGCAGTCGGATCGGTCGCACCAACAGCCTCGATTATCAATCCTGATTTTGGACTCGACATCCTGTTTCTGGATCATTACTAGACAGAGCGAGAAACTTTAGGCAATTACGGTGGACGTTAAGCGCCCTTAACAGCGCAACAATTGGTGCAACCGCCCTCTTGCGCGGTCTCGAAAAGGAATTTGTTTGTTCGGCGGACAGAGAGACGAGGAAACCCCCATGCAAAGTTTACCATTAGTAGATTGTGGCGGGTTTCCGGCCGGAAATAGCTCGAGCTGCGAGCGCTTCCCGTCCGCGAGCGGAGAGCCGGCCCGACTTGACCCTACAGTGTGTCAAAAGGACAGACAGGTATGCCACATTATACACACAGCACAATCGGAGGAAGAATAGGGTGACGGTATGACAATGTGGCTAGAGTGTGCGTGTGTACGTATATGTGTATTTCGCGCGCAATCGCAGAGGTCGATCCTTGAGGGATTAACATCCGATACCCGTAATTGATAGTACAATGAATCCGTCTGTTTAGCGGATCCGCGATTTATCTCTTGCGACATCTTAATCGAACATCGAACGTTCCAATTAACTTTTCAAGGAAACTTGATTTATATTGCAATACTTGAATCCGTGTTTAAATTAAACGACTCGTATCCGGTTCAGTTTTGACTTAAGTTCGCAGTAGAGTTTGTACGTGCGGAAAATAAAATGAAACAGAGAATATTAGACACACATCTCGCCGAATATTTTGCGAGAGGCGTTAGACGTTTTCCATACAGGGTAAAAGAGACAGGAGAATGCAATATATTGGTCAATGTAGTACGTAGGGTATAGTACGTAAACGCCACCCTCCCTCTCCCCCTCGGGCATGACAGAAAGAGAATAAGGAATGAGAAACAGTTAACAGCCAGACCACCCGAGTGTCGTCGCGTGGTGTAGTGGAGTATTTGTGAAATGCATTTTACCGTGAAGAGAGAAGTTCCCACCGTTCATATGGTCCAGCGTCAATCCACTGTCCACATGCAGATCCGCCAGTGTCTTCGGCACGAATTCCAACTTTGGTCGATTTGCGGCCTCTTCTTTCCTGAAGAGTTAAGACATTTATCCGTGAGCAATATTATTGCCAAGAAATGATTGCCACCATTCACATGCATAGACACAAAAACGGACAACTCGATCTTCTTTTACGCAAGAGATATGCTTATTTATTTAGCTGTGAAAAGAAATATATTTAATATAACGCGCTTTATATTAATATTTTATCAGAATAAATCACTTTTACTTCGCCAGTCAAATAATGAACAACAATGGAAATACTTATTAATCGACTCTACTGGCCATTATAATCGCCAAAACAATATGACCACGATTTGGTTCGATTATCGTCATATAATCTTTGATACTTCTATATAAGTATCTCATTTAAATAATTAAATTTATTGCGAAAAATATTACCTCAATCAGGGTTCGAACCTGAAACCTCCCTCATTTCGTGATGGGTGTCGTACCAATTCGAAAATTGAGGCATGTGGTAATATTTATCGCAATAACCTGTATTAAACTAAACAATATTATTCCAACCATAGTAACTGCGCGCCGACGATAATCGAACCAAATCGTGGTCGTATTATCTTGGCGATTATAATGGCCAGTAGAATCGATTAATATTTCCATTGTTGTTTAATATTTTATATTAATATTTTTGATTAATATTTTTTATTAATACTTTATATTAATACTTTATATTACGCTTTATATTACGAAAAAATATTCGTAAAGTAAAACGAAATAATTGAGTATGCATGTAACTTTTTAAATTTAAATACTCATTTTTAATTCGCGCATTCGAGAAAATTATGGAAATCAGTTTCGTATTTGACACATTCGATTTTTATAACGATTTTTAATTGCGCCATATGATCAGACATACTTTTCGAAGAGTATTTCCGTCAACCCTTTCAGGACCTCGGTGCACTGTTGATGATATTCGAGAAGAGCTTCGCTGAAAGTTGCCAATTGTGCCACTTGTTCGACCTGCAAAAGAACGACGTAAGAATCACGATCTGTGGCGCAACGCGCAACATCTCGGATTAGCAACAACGACTCACGTCGTTCTCCAGCAGATTGAACATGCCCATCTGCGCCAGATGGAGGCTCTCCGCGAACTTCTCCTCGGCCTGACGAATCTCGTCGTCTGAAACGTGAGAACCTGTTCGCAAACGGTCGCCCCGCCAACGGCATTAAAAAGGTTGCACTACTGGGATTGCTTCATATTCTAAATCTAAACACTTATACAGTATAGCGGGGTACAATAAAGAAGCGTAATTAGCTCTACGAGCGCGCAAATGTAATTTAATGCTATAAAAAACCGTGTTTAATTAAGTGCCGTTGAGCGCTTTGATAAAATTATCATTTCTAAAACTAGCAACAATGCATAAAGACTGTGCGGCACAACAGTTTAAATTTTTTATTTAATTTAGAAATATATAATTAAGAAGCGTATTTTAGGAATATTTAAAAATATCTTTCGAAAACATCTTTTTGAAAAATCCAAAAAATATCCTACATTTTTATTTTATGCAGGTTTATCTTCTAAATTTTTTTTATTTGAAAATTTTACAGGAAATTTACGGTATAGAAGCATACTGATCGATAATATGTAATAAATTTCCAAAAATACGGGATGTAAGCTCAAAATGGCACGTAATGGAAGTCATACCCGCATATGGCGACGAAGTGCCCGATCGCGCTGGACTTCCAACATGCGGACTGACGGATCTCTTTCCGGTCGCTAATAATTAAGCGATTGCCAAAAACAGATATCACATCGATCATCAGCAGAAAGCGCAAATTCATTCGGAGCAAATAACACAAAAGAATCGCGACCGCGGAAAACGTATCAATAAATTCAAATTAATAGTTCAAATAGCATAAAAGCGAAATATAAGAATTGTTATTAGGTGTATTTAACGCTATAAAAAAAACCGTGTTTAATTAAGTGTCATTGAGCACTCTGATAAAATAATCATCCCGCGCTCAACGATCGAGAGTGTCAATACTAATTTATTTTGCGCCATACACACATCGGCAGTATTTACTTATAAAAGTGTTAATTAAATCCAATTATCTATTATTCTGAACAAATTAAAAATACCGAGTACTTTAGCTGTTATGTCGAAATTCGTTTAATTTTAACAGACTTGGATCTAACAATTATTACACCCAATATGTTATTCTTATAAAATATTATATATGTAATATAAAGTAATATATCAATATCGTATCATTTGTAAAAAAAAAAAAAATTTATTGAGTTACATGATTTAAAGATATTAATACGTTTAATATTTATATAAACTGCAAGTATACGGATAAATAATCTGTTAACCCACTGCACACATTTTTTTCTGTATTTTTAGCGCTGCAGTAAGCGAGCTAATCGTGTCAAAAATAATTTTCTCTGTATAAAACGGACATAAAAGAAAAGTATTCTTTTCGCGTTCTACTTTCAAGTCCATATTATAACGCTGATTTGTAATTCTATTTGATCGTGCTCATGCAACGCAGCATGCGAGCAAGGGATCGCCTTTCTATCGCAAAAAAAAAAGAGTTGCACCACCGGCATCTACTCATGCAACGATTTTATCGTGACAATCCTAATCTACAGAGGCGAATCATGTACGAAACATAATTCTATTTTCCCACACGCATGCCGACAATGGGAGACGAAGCTGTCTTCATAAAGAGCCTAAAAACCCACCGACGTTACGCTGGAAAAGTGTAAGTGAAGAATCGAAATGGAAATTGCCTGAAAATCTCGAAAGTGCAAGAATAACGATCGATATAATCGTCAAAACGGATCGTTCGTCAGCATCATATTAAATAATGCTGAAATTTGTATAACAAAAAGAAAAAAGTATCGAGCAATTAAAATTATGTCGTAGTAAAAGATATAACTCACAAAGATGAGAAAAAAAGAGTTCGAAACTTTGATTTTTATGCAGGTCTTCTTTTTTTAAGTACCTTTACAAAAATGTATAATAAAATGAATGAATAAAAAAAAGCGTCGTTCAAAAACGACATCTCAGCTTCTTTTTTTTTTCACAAAGAGTAACGCGATCATTCTCTTTATTCGTCACGTCTCTCTTTCGACAATTGCTCGTACTTAACTGCGAGTTTTTGTCCGTCGGAGGAAAATAATCTCCGCTTCGGTCACGAGACTTTTATCTCTTCGACAACGACGATTTCGCAGTTTGTGACCTTTCGCCGTTATAGCAGTCCCGGCAATACTGTCTTTCGCGTTTTCTTTTACGACACCGTCATCTCGAAAATCACGAGCGCGTGCGGCCACAGCTCCTCTCCCATCACGCGTCGAAGGGCGCGTTCGCCCGGCGTCATTACAACACGGAGTATATACCGTGTTACAATTCCGTCACGGTTTTTATTTCAACTCATCACACGTAGTCGCTCCGCGGGCATCGCGAGCGGCGACGACGACGTGTTCGTGGCAAGGACACGCGCGACGACGGCCGCGGCCTGCTCGCGCGCGCCTGAATAAATCAATAGGAGCGCGGAAACGCGAGAGAGAGGACGAGAAGCGAGGGTAACACGCAAGGGGGAAAACCTCAACGTACCTTTCGCCTGGCGTCTTCGCTTGCAATCGAAGTCCAGCCTACGGCCTTGCAGTTTCTTCCGATGGTGCTGAAATCAACAACGAAATCGAAGATGATCGTACGCGTGCGAGAGGAGCGTGAAGAGAAGCGGCGCCTAGCCGAGCGCGACTATACACAACTTTTCCAATAACCGTACCATCACTTCTTTGAGATCCTTGGTCTGCAGATGGTGCAGCGGCTCGAGGAAGTTCTGCTTGATGTTATCGTCCAACGAATACTTGACGTCCGCCATCTGCTTCATGGCTTCGCCCATTTCAATGAGAGCCTGGGCTGTAAGGATTGATAAAAGTGGAGCGGACGGTAAGGTGAGACGCTTAGACAATACGACCTATCGATCCTCGATACGTCTTCCTTTCTTTAATATTAAAATGTCACTAAACCCCGCTGTGAAAACATTTAACTCGTGTAAAGACTTTTTTTTTCATTATCTGAAATTATTGTCAGATGATTCTTATCTCCTGCCAAAAATTGTCGCGTACAAAAAAGAATGATATATTTTTGTAGAAAAGGAAAGAAGAAAATAAAAATCTTTAAACGATATAAACGAATAAAAATCTGTTTTGCAAAAATAATAACAATATAGTCGTCTTATTGAAAATAATTTTAAGAGGCGCGATTCCTCGCGAACGAGAACATTTTAGACAAGAAAGTGCGGATTGAATTTCTCCACGAAAAACCGTGAAAAATCGCGCAATCGTCGAGTTTAAACTGCATGTACCGAAAATGCTGTCCTCGCCCATTTTTTTGCCATAAGTGAGCATGCAATCGCCAAGTACACCTTCCGGCTGAGGATAAGTGGACGCCTTCGCCTGACCGCTGAGTTTGCTGATACCCTTGACTGCAGCCATCTTCGCCCTCGCCGTTGGGTTTGGTTGAAGGAACTCCTTCGTCTTCATCTGCAGCTCCTCCACGAGCTCGTACGTGACGTCTGTTTTCTATATACATGACGTGTTTATATGAAGCCTTCGTCTCTTGTCAATTCACTTCGTCGAGAACGTCAAGGAATTCTTTATGAAGCTTTGAAATTATATTCGCGATACGCACGAAATGGATTATCGATTCAAGAGTATAGTAATATAAGACAGCTCATTTGAGAGACTATTGCTCTTCTCGGAATAATACTTCCGCAAAATCTATAAATAATGCATAAATTCGGGGCATAAATTCCAAAAACATTATCCACTTTTTTTTAAATTATTCTTTTATTTATTATACAATTCTTTATTCTCTAATTACATTAAATTTATTTACTTATATGTATAATTTAGAGCATTCTTCACATTTAAGAATCGAGAAGATCCAATTCATTTTCGGCAAATCTTTACATTCAAAAGGTTTTATTTCATTAAATAACTCTTGTATAAAATTTGAGTTATACATTGTTATCTCAAAATTAAAACTGTTATCGAATTCTAAAAACAGTTTTAATAATATGAGAACGCACACAGAAAATCGTAATCAGAAAATTAAAAGCGATTACAAAGGTGCAGAATTTACAAATGGTTCTCGACATAAATTATATCGCGTTATCTATGTTATGACGAAGTTAAAAAGCGAAGTATTCTAGAAAGGAACCGGCCGCGGCAGTAAGAAGTTTTTCCAGAACTTCGTTTTATAACACAGTCAATCTCGCGACTTCTGGCTTCTGGCTTCATATAACAGGAAAACGTCAAGAAAACGTTTTGAAAGACAGATAAAGATCCTCAGCAAAGCCAGAAAAAAGCCAGGCATAATCTTTTAAATTCAGTAATAATGTCAGTAAATAGAACATGCTAGTCATCTCATCGTTCCTGACGTTCTCACAAAGGAACCGTGCGAAAATGTGACGCCTCATCTCACAACACACATACATCTTGAGAGAGACAGGAGAGGGAGAAAAAGAGAGATGGATACGAAAATACACTACTCACCCTCTCCATATCCACGAAATCGACGTCGAGCTTCGTTCCCTCCGCTCCGCCCATCTTCTCCGTCATGTACTGCAAGAGAGATCCGTTTATCCTTAGCTTAAAATCTATAGCTGCTGAATGAATAACGCACTTTACCCATTTTACAAATCTCTTAATCCGACCTGATAAGATCGCGTGAAAGATGTGCTTGTCAAAACTTGGGTCGATTTGATTTGACAAAATTTCTCGAAACTTATTTACTCTCAAGCACTTAAGTGAAATAGGTAGTACATCACGAAAGTCATCGACATTTTATTCTTCTATTTCAACGAGCGTTTCGTTGAATAATTTATGTTGAATAATTTATGTTAAGTAGTAATAATAGGTTTAAAATTTACTCGTTTATTGCCTGAATTGCTTTAATTATAAGCGTAGAATTTTTGTTCTCAATAAAACTTTAGAGACTTTATCTGGATATATTAGAACTCTTGAAAGAAAATATACAAATCGAAAATAAACGTAAGCGTAAGCATACAGAGATTTACGATAATTTAAAACTCCGAAAATTTTAATATTCAAAAATAAAAAATTTTAAGAATTATTAAAAAACGACAAATTTTTAAAAACCATCGGATTTAAAAGAGTCAAAAGACTGATATGTGCGTATTTTACTTTTAAAAACTTTCGTCAATCTTAATATCTCGGTCGAGGATTTCACGCTTGTATGATTACTGCCCCATACGAACGAGATCGTTTCCGAAAATGTCTTCTTGGATTACGTAAACCGCGCTACAAATGCGAGAATATAATATTTCCACGGACCACGTCGGTTGGACGAGAGGTCAGCCAATCGCTCGTAAATCGGGATCGTCCTGAAAAGCGGCAGGAGATTTCCTCGGGATACTTCCAACTTCCGACAAGGGGATATCTCCGGAGAGAGAAGTCAGGAGCTAAGACTTTGGAGAAGAGTATTACGGGATACAGTGAGGGGAGATGTTAATGGCAGAGAAAATATCATCGACAAGGGAGGAACGGTTCTTTCCTCGATCAATAATACACCCGCAACAATAATGTCCGTCGATCTGCCAAGACCTACGAAATATATCGCTCCCCGTCTTTGCCAATGGCAATGGTGAAAAAAGGACACGCATATCCTGCCAAGGCTCTGGAAAATAGGTCAGATAAATTGGCATGCGAATGCATACGCAACACGAACGACTGTACCAATTTCTGCTAAACGAAATTTCAAGTGTTCGCTTCGAGATTACTCCAAAACTTCGATGAGCTCCATCAATTATATTTTATTGAATTAACTACTCACGCGTGTCAAAGTTACGAACATTACCGAATTTAACGGATTTAAAACATAAATATCATACAAAATTGTTTTCGATATTTTACCGATAAATCAAATTTCATACATCAATCATTATCAACATTTGCTAATTACCTATCTGCGCAAGATCAAATTTTTCTTACGAAACTTGAGTTCTGTGTTATCTAAAAAATTGTAATATAACACTATGTGTAATGTATCATACATGATGTATATAAAAGTTTGCTAAAGTATAATAATTTGATAATGGCAACACTGCAAAATTAAAAGTCAAATTGCACCACAGTATCAAGATTAACTAACGGGGTTAACGATCTCTTTATCTTTCTTCCTTCTACCTTTTCTGGTTTTTTTTCTTTTTTTCTCTCTCTCTCTCTCTTTCTCTTTTCTACTTAAAAATTTCTGTAGTACAAACAACGGAAAAAAAGTTACATCAAAGTTAGCTATCGGTACTCTTCTCTAAGCTCTTTTAAAGTCCTCTTCTAAGTGCATTTTGAGCGCGTAACTCAATTTTGTTCACGCAAATTCAAATATTTACCCCGGTAAGGAGCAACTAGAATTCTCGACAATCGCAAGAATATCCAATCAATTCGCGATGTCTCATTCTATCTAAAAAAAAAATCAATTTCTTCGTATATGAACAAATATAATGTCGATGTATAATGCCGTGCGATTTGTTTTTTCCTGTGAAATCAATTGTACGCAAAAAGAAAGAGAGTAAAGGACACGGAAATGGTATCGTACGTTTAATCGTGCTGAGCGGCGAGCTTTGCAAGTGGGATTACTCGCAGGAGAAGAAGGGACAGAAAAAGAGGCAGAGAGAGAGAGAATGAGAAAGACCCTGACCCATTTAACGACGACCCACTTCCAGAGATGTGCACAGGGACGCCGTCACTCGTATCCCAGTAAACGCCATCCTGGAGTAAATTTGACCCACATCGCGTCTCTCGCAATGTCGCGCGCTTTATACCGACGAGCATCCAGTTTCCGGCGATTTAGAATCGCGCCTATGAAATATTATGATGGATGTCTCCATAAACGGCATCATCCCGACACGGGAATCATAAAATTTGAAAATTTTCTGTGGTATAAAAGAAAAAAGTTTATTAGGTTTTTTTTTTCCTTCTTCAGAAAAACTGTTACACTGAATTTGTGCTGTAAAGCAGATATCGTAACGTGGCAAAATATCTGTTATTTGTTGCAAAAAATTGCTTTATTACACTTAGATTAAATTATGTACAAACATCCGTGTTTCTATTGCAATTAAATTTATAATAGCCCGTAATTGTATTAATAATATTGTAAAATAACGTAAATGATAAATGGAAAATGGGCCTCGTGAGCAATCACGTATAATTCTTTTCTTTATTCCAGGAAAGAAGAGAAATAAAACTACAGGATCTCTATTAAGATTTCATGAATTACAAATTATATACATTCTAGATTTGTGTTAAGACCGGTTCTATTTGTAACCGTTTCTCTAACGACTTCGATAACGTGGATGACGTAAAAATATAATTGGAAAAGCTGGGAAAAGCGTCATCGGCGAGATTGAAACCCCGAAGGAGCGATATATTTATAACCGATTCATAACTCTTGCAACGAGCGGAAACTTAAAACTCGATCGGCTTGAATAAGATCTAAATTTTAACCGCCGCCCGCGCCGGTGCAGTCGCGGTTTGTATCGCAAAACTCTTAACACACACATTCGGCGCGGACTCGCGTCGCTCTTTCGGCTTTAAAGCGCCTTTAAAGTAAGGTACCCGTGTTACGGATTCGATAAGGGTGTCGATCTACATAAGGATTGATTGCGCCAGTCAACTGGCACATTCGTGCCTGAACGAGACCTTTGCACTCGCATTAAAGCAGCAACTAGATTGACCGGTACGAGCATCGAATTTCACAGACGTGTTCGCTCTTGGGCGATACCGAGTCGAGATTAGAATTACACATCCACGAACCGTATATCCCCGAGATAAAAAGAGAAACAAGTCAGAGAATCTGTCCCTTAAAAAGAGACGACCAGGACATTTCAGTATTTAAATATTGTTAATCGGAATATTAACATTCATTACATTTAATTTCACTAAATGTCAAGTGCCAAATATAATTTAAAAACCTATGCAGTGAAATTATCCTCTCTGTATTAATTTCATATTATTTTTGATATAATATTGATTAAAACTTATTGAAAGCAATCGACTCGTTTACATCAATTAATTCATAAATTTTTCCTGTCATATTGTACTTGTTATTTTACAATGTTCGTATCTCGCTGCAAACGTATACGTTACGATAGCATTTGTGGTTTCAACTACAAATAATATTATTCATGTGAGAACGACAATTTAAAAATATTATTTATAGAAATATTTTTCCAAATAATTTATAAATAGTGATTCATTGTTTTATTAAATTATATAACCATATTTGATTGACGTCGAACGCACGTGTTTATTGTTATATACCAAGGACGATGTATGTACCTTTAAATCTCTCGTATGTGCGCGCACATACGGGATCGAATCAAATTTCAGGCAAACACGAGAACATGCGGAAAAGCGGAGCACACATTCTCGAAAGCTCGCACGGTCGATCGGCTCGTAACATCATCGGCGAGTTCACGACATCGCGCCGTAAAAATATCCGTTCGCCATCGTCCTAACATCGATAACGACGAACAGGACATCCGGCGATATTGCGGGGTTCGATCAGGCGGCGGCATAACAACGCGACACATCACACAACGGTGCGACGATGCACTTAAAGCCCCCACATTCGCCGCACCAGCCGCGCACATATATCGTGGCGAATGCAATTAGGGCACATAAAGTGAGGTATAGGCACGTGCCATGCGGGCGTGCATATACGCGTGCGTGCGTGCGATTCCAGGGTTTTTCGCGCTACGAGATAAACATGCAATTTTCGTCGAGGCGCAATATGGTGAGCACGCGTTATTTACGATGCGCAGTAACGCTGTCGAACTATCGCTTTATATGCGAAAATAGATGTATGTATACAACGATAGCCGGAAGCGCCTTCAATAAATCGTAGTAGCTAGCCAGTGGTTGCGAATAAAATGCCGGTATTCATATCAAATTATAAATAATTAAATATAATCGCTAATACAACCATGAATTTATCTTTCTCTCTCTCTCCTTTTTAAACTCTTATGATTCTGCTTTAATAAATACATTTATTAAAGTTGAATTATTCATTTATTATAAAATGTATTATGTTATATTAAAGTACAATAAATATGTTAATGAATATTTTAATTACTACATGGAGAAACCAAGCCGAGCTTCCAAAAAATTCCTATATTAAATATAAGCGTTAAACCATGAATATAACGTAATAAATAGAATGAGATAAAATCGAGGAATCCACCTGTTCTAGCACGAAATGATAAAAGCTCATTTAATTAATATTTATTAATTTTTATTTTTATTGCTTTTATTTAATTGAACAAAATTTTTTACTGGATACATCTTAAAATAACATGGCATTTGTCAAAACGCGTTGGCGCGTTAAAAGTAGTTTGGATGCAGATATCTCGCCGGGGCGCATCGATCGGTGCTTCTCGTTTATTATAAATATTCGAAGGTGGTGTGCACAATTAAGGATGCAAAGGTCAGAAGCTGCGGCTGGGCTGCCATCATCGCGCATCAGCGAGAATTTCGGTAGCCGCGGATCGTGCCGTTCCCGAGAAGTTATAACCTAGTCGACAGTTTAAAACTGCTCGTTACACAATTGTGCCTCAGGCGGCAGGCAATAATTCGCATTGTTTCGCACGCCGCTCGCACACTTTTCGCTCGCCGCTCGCGCCTCGCCGCCGTCTTCGACGACATGGATTTTCATTTGACATTTGCGACGGCCTGCAAATGCGGTATAATTAAGGCCAGGATAACATCCCGCCAACGCGAGACGCGACATCCCTTGGAAACTGTATTAAAACTTACGAGAGTTCTCCTTACGCTCAATTCTCTCGGCAAAAATCAAGATACATGGCAAAATCCACCGTATCAAGTCTGTACATAATGAAAAGTAAACGTAATGGAACAGCTACGAAGAATTAACTTTATAGTTATTATTTTATTGTTTATTCCCTGTGTCTTGTATTTAATTTTATCGTTTTTAAATTTAATTTACTTCTATACTTTCTGTGTTATTAAGGAAGAAATACAGAAGTAAATTAAATACAAAGATAATAAAATGAAATATAAAGGTATAAAATAGATAATGAAATAATAACTAATTTAATTCTTCTGTGGATTCTCTGTGGAGTTTCGTAAATCATAATATTAATTGCGGAAAGCGCGGTAACTGTATCGGTAACTTTTATCGATATTTCCCCTCGGAAAACAAACTGACGCATTTGCATAATCGCAAATAGTACTTTACCGTGTACCTGCAACTGCGAGCGGCGCATGGGAATAATTGCAGCAATTTTCATTATTACGTCTCGACAATGCACACGGCAGAAATGCCATATAGGCAGAATTTCGCACGACACATAAGCGCGTGGATCGCGCCTCGTTTAACGCGAAGCGCAGAGAGCCTCGCGTCTTTAATGTTAAGAATTTCATAATCAAGTTTTCCACGGTATTTAGAGCGTAAGTTACGCATGACGCATATGTTCAACGAGATATTTCCATCGTAGAGATTTTCGCCGTCAAGGGCAAATAATTGCAAAATTAACTGAAAGATACTAACGCAAAGACAGGTATATTAAGCTGTCTGAGCCAAATTATCAAAACACAAAAAATTTTATATAGAATTAATTTGCTAATTATTTGTTATTTTTTGCTTTTAAAAGTAATTTTTTTGCTCCAGCTATTACAAAATTACAAAGTTAAGATTAAGCTATTCAGCCATTGTAAAAAAACATATACATAAGTCAAAGCAAAACGTTAATAATACCAAAATTATTTGCTACTTTTTTGCTATTTTTTGGTTACAAAAGTAATTTTTTTGCTCCAGCTTTTAAGAAGACATCAAGATAAAAAATGCGGCGCTTAAGAGTAAAGCACATTAAAGAAAATAATTTCTCGCATTATTATAGCATCAGAATGTTCCCTGAATTATTTGCTCTCAAGATATCCAAGTCTCGAATTTTTTGCTCGCGAAATAATTTTAAAAAATTTATATTTTACTCATATAAGTCTGTTTCCCTTTCTAAAAAAGGCATGTCATCGATACTTGAATCTGACGAAGTATATTGTTGTCAATACTTTTCGATGCCGATTGGTTCTCTTATTGCGCTTACTTCATGAGCATCTGTCATGTCGCATATTTTGACAGTTTTGTGTATCAAAGGGTTAATATTGTAATGTAACAGTAATGTAATAGATAAGTAGCGCATGCGCGCGCGTAGCGCATGTCTGTGTGATGTCTGATGGTATATAAAAAATCTCGTTTTTTTATTTTTTCTATATTCCTATTAGCTATAGGAATAATTTATTGCTTTGACTTACGTATATGCTGTTTTTTACAATGGCTGGATAGTTTAATCTTAAGCTATTCAGCCCTTCGTAACTTTTTAATAGCTGGAGCAAAAAAATTACTTTTAAAAGCAAAAATAGCAAATTAATTCTATATAAAATTTTTTCTGATAATTTGCCTTAGATAGCTTAATATACCTCGCACAGACCATGCGGGTCAACCACGCCCACGCAAGCACACTGTGATACAATTACGCTTAATCTTGTATAATTACGAGGTATTATTCGAAATAATAGATTCTAACAAGCTACTTCGAATCAAAAGCAAGATTATCAAAATAAATGGTATATTAATTCTCATTCGTTTGACAAATTTACGTTTATTATTAGTATTAGTGTTACGCCGTTTTTATACATATTTATTCAAGTAAAAACAAATTAGATAGTGTCTGATGTTTTGCACTTCCAATTTAACAAATATATAATAATTTATCATTTTGTTGTATCTCCGAGTTTGTTATGTCTCACCGGATGTTGTTTCTATTTTGATGTGAAATTCTTTGTACTTTTTAATTTTGAAAATCTGCACGACCTCGTTTCATTAAAAGATCATTATTGATTTGTTAAGCATGTCTCTTTCAATTAACAATTAGCCGTAAATTCGTCACGGTCTTGCTGCGACTTTAGTATTGAGAGCAAGCAGCAGCAACCAGTTACCAGTTCTTCTCTACTCGTCATTTCAAGATTAAACGTGACAGCGTGATAACGCCGCGGCTGCAGTTGATACGAAAATTCTCCGCACATAGCATGCTGGGACCAAATGATAACTCGCATCAACCAGTTGTCAAACTTGGCTTTCTCAGTAACATTCCAATAAATGAATTGTGTAAAACATGCATTATTTTCCGCGCTTGAACGCGAAAAAACAATCGGGTTATCTGCTAATGGAAAGAAGTATTTTCCTGTTGATGTAAAATACTACACCACGCGATATTGCCCGTAATTCTGAGATTCCCCCTCTCGTGTTTCACGCATTCCAGACTCGTAGATTTCTATCCTCGGATTCTGAGATCCTCTCCGCGAGAGAGATTCTCCAATAATAAAATTCCCACATGTACATCGAAAATTCTCGTGGAATGCCGGGGGATATCGATTTCACCGACGCAAGGACAATTCGTGTAATATTTCACGTGATAACAATTAATCTGCGTTTCGCAGATCTCGAGTTTCGGGGAGTTCGTTTGCTTGGGGTTTTCTCGATTACATTAGCCGTTGCGGGGCGCGTCGCGGTGACGCCGGGTAAATCTGGCTGCGTTACGCGAATATCACGAATTTCCCGACGACGCGTAATCGCATTAAGACACCGCGCGTTTCGCGGGGAACGGACGGCGTTGGCAGTCGAAAGTTCGCGACGCCTAAGTAGCAATCCATCGCCAGTAATTGGAGTAATGTAGCCCGAGAGTCGACGTTAATGTGGACGATTAAACTTTCAACGGTGTTCCACATAATGAATACGCCGTATCGGCGAATCGTGCGCGCCGCAGCGGATCGTTAGCGCGATGCCTACTTAGTGCTCCTAAGCACTAAATCAATAGCGTAATAATCGTAAAGCGTTTTGTCGTTTAATTCAATGAGAATGGCTAGTTAAATTGAAAAAAAAAAACTAGAGTTTAAAATAAAATTTCGCGAAGGAAAAATCGAATTTCAATTACGCGAACCGGTACCAATTTAGATACCGTTAAAAGAAATCGACAAATTGATAAAAGAAATAATCCACGCGAGGCGAATACTCGGAGGATAAATAATGCCTCCTGTCAGCGCTGCGTATTGATTTATTATTATTCAGTTATAGAAGAGATATATCTCAATATATTTCAAATAATTTCAAAAGTTATTTAGCGTACATTTCTTTCGAAGCTCAACCTCCGTTTGCGGGCTTGTTATTCTTATGGAAAAGATATATTATCGATGCCGTGCATGGTAAAAAGATCCATTTGTCAAGTCGCCGAAGGAATAGGACGCTTCCACGACGAATGCTCACCTGATTCGCTTTGTTGATCTGCTTCTTGAGCCCGGCGAACGCCATGGTCATGCAGTCGTGTCGTTGTTTTCCGGATCACGCGTAAATCGTACCCCGTAACTGTAACAGAGACGGAAAACGGGAAACTGTCAGACATCAGGTTGCACGTATGTGAATCTCTATATACGACGCGACGGAGAGCCTCGTATATAGAGAGAGAAAAGAATGAAAGTTGCGAGCGCGTCGGGGAAAAATAGAACGAAAGTTTCGAATTTGTGGCCGCGACGGCTGTTGGCCGCTCGCCAAGGCGAACGGGATGATTTTCAATGTTATCGATCGGCCGTATGTTTTCCAGCATCATGACTCGTCGCTGATGTAACTAGCCGGTCGCCTCGCCTCGCCTCGCGTGCAGGTGACGAGGCGGAGGCGACGGCGATGGGGCCCTCGAGGATGATCTCACACGCGTGAAGCCGTACGTCGCAACGTACCGCGCCGACCCGACCTCTTAACAGGCTCTAATGAGAGTAAGTAATGCTTGCTCTTATTAACGGACAGCACGTAGGTATCGATAGTTCCCTCACGCGCGACTTCCAAAGCGGCTACAGCTTTGGCACGGCGGGAAGTAAAAAGAACGTCAGCAAATTTTGTGCATATACAAATCATAAATTTACGACCCTTTAATAAAGGCAAGCGATATACGCTGTAAAATCCATGGTTTATTTAAATCTGTTGACCGCGAGTCACAGAACTTCTCATCTGTCATATTCTATAATCCGATCGATCCAGCCTGTATCTATATTGGGAATGTTGTGTTACAGCAAGTTATGCGTGCATTTATTAATGCAACTGCGTATATCGATTTTTCATAAAGGTTGGCATGCAGAAATGTCGCAATAAAAATAGAGGAAGCGTGTACATTTTAAAAAATTTATGAATGACAAATTTACGGGATGACTTAACAATAGCGAGTTACCGCACGTCGCGTCTTAATAAAGGCAATATACTGCGAGCCGATAAATTTATATATATGTTTGGTGTACAATACAGAAATTTTATTCGCAAAACCTATAATAATGAATTAAAGGGAATTCGCTCGATTAATAGTAAGTGACATATTTCTCGTTGATGGCTCTCTTGATGTAAATTCTGCACATCGAAATAGATATATAATACAGCAGAGAGGTTCCAGCAACGAGATATGCATAAATCCATGGCAGATTTCAATAAGAGCAAGCGCCGAGTATCAATCGATTCCTGACGCAACATCCACGAGGCTTACTAGGTTAAAAGTTTTACGTAATAAGAGAATCTTAAATCTTAAATGATCGCGTAATATTGAAGCGCTAAATCTGCAAGAATCGAACGGGAATGACGATAATATCGACGTGTTCCCACGAATACAGCAACATAAGTCTCTTATAAACTCTGAATAGACTCTTAGAGCGCGAATTTCAAGAAAGTACGCGTATCGAGCCGGAGAAGCTCTACAAGCAGGCGCAAAGTCTATAATTGACCCGAGCGATGATTCCGACGAGCACAGAGGTCGTCGGAACCTTATGCGATTAATTAATCTCATGGTGCACTAGCCGAAGGTAAGCCGGACTCAAACTCTTCACGCTCAGCTTTGCGCTCTCTCGCAGAGTCGTCGTGAAAAATCATCGACCGACGAAAACTCTTTCCGAGCGATCCTTGTCGATCGCAAGAATCGAGGTTTCCGCTAACGTGCATGCATGCCGGCAGCGGAATTCGCCGAAGTGAATAAACGCCCCGTTAACGAGAAGAACCGCTGTCTATATATGTTCCAGAATGGCACGCATTGATGGCACCGCGATATAACGTCGAAATCCTCTTACTTATAGTAATGGGCGTATAAATGAATGCAACATCTTTATTAATAAGACTAATTGTAAGCCTGTAATAATCGCGAGAGTTTTATTTAAACCCACGACTGTTCGATCGAGCCGATCGGTATCGCGGCTCCGAAAGATTCTCGAGGTAAATCGGAGGCAAGGGGACAAGGTTCGGCAAGTGGGCGATTGGATGAGAAGATGGAGGATTACTGACACACAGTCCCGACAACAACGGTTAATGTCCGTCCCGACTTCGTTGCGACACAACAATTGGACCCATCGCCAATGTGCTGACTGCGCCGTTAAGCGCCGAGTATTTGCACTCTTTAAGTTAAATTCGCGTGTGCCTTAACGACTAAAATTTATGCTGCTAATAAATAAACGGACGGTATAGTGGAACATAATATTAAGAGAATAGATGGCAGTACTGAATAGTAAAATATAGAGTCATAAAGATAATACGTGGCGCAATAATCCTATCTGATGAAATTTAAATAGGAACTTTATGCAAGAAGAGAAATGATAAGATTAGATAAAGCCGCAGTAAAAAAAACTGCAGGAAACTATATATAATATTCAGCCGGAATATAGCTAGGCGTGTAAAAGACTATAACGTAGGCTGTGCGAGTGGATACACGATATTGAAAAGGATAAAGGTACTGCAGTAGGTAGCACCTGGTGGTATAAGCACGGGAATATAGAGAGCTATACGTATACGCCTCACTATATAGGTAACTATAGTGTAGTGCTAGGTCAGGTAAAAATGGACTATAGAAAGGGACCGACCGATCAAACGCGCAGGTAGATGAAGACAGCCACGTTAGTTAGGTTCAGAGTACAACCCCCCCGGCGCGGCGGCGATCAAGAATTCTAACTCGTCACCCGAGAGCTCGCTATACCCAGCGGCAACGTCGTCTCGTGCCATCCATATAGTCCGCGAACGGGACGACGCGTTCGCTCCGGAAGGACCCCGTATTCGCGTCGCACTGCACACGATACCGAATTGCAAGAGCCGCGACGGTCCTCGCGCGCCGGGAAACGGGAGGAACGACCCGCTGGGTCGCGATAACGCCGCAAAATGCAACGCGCGGTATAGCGCGGTGGACGACGGTGGCCTCGCAAAATACAAGCGCAAGACAAGGAGCGTGTCTCACCTCTCTCTGAGCGCTCTCGGCCCCTCCGGCCGCGAACCGGATGCGCACCCCCACAAACGCACGCCCTGGTGGACACGGGCCGACGACGTTGGACTCTCGACGTTGGACTCGCGTCGACAATGGGAACGGGACGCGAGCGGATGCGTGCCTCTACGTGCGTGGAGGAAACAGGAGGGATCCGCGTGGGCCCACGAGCACCGCGAGAGAGCACCCCACTGACTACTCTCGTACGTGATCGGTCTCTCGCACACCGCCAAGTCCCCTGCTAGGGGGTAGTTTTCTGCTGGCCGATCGATACGCGGCCACGGCTCGGTTTCTCTCTCTCTCTCTCTCTCTCTCTCTCTCTCTAGCTTGCTCCCCTCTCCGGTTCCCTTCTCTCGCTCTCTCTCTCGCTGGTTCCCTCTCCCCGTCTCTCACCCGCCTCGCGTTTCGATACCATTCCCTACCCTTTCCTCTCGCGATAGCCACCTCTTCCGTCAGGGACGGATCCAGGGAGAAAACCGCACGGAGGTTGAGTTAATTTCTTCGTGTGTTTAATTTCTGTAAGACGTTCTCCCGAAGGCTCGAAATATCATCTCGCAATCAAGAATTATAATAATAATCGTAATTAGCTTCTTCTCCGGTCGGAGAATGTAATTCTTTTACTTCCAACACAATTTCCTCCCGTAAGTATTTTCAAGATCCACCTCTGTTCTGCCCTTTCCCTCTCTCTCTCCTCCTTCCACGTGCGCCGCAACCCTCGACTTTATTCGCGCGCGCCTTTGCTCCCTTTATACTTATACCGGGTGTCTGCTAGCGGCGAGGAGTCATTGCGGTGTACGCTTACTTCTGGAATTAGCGCGCGCGCAATAGGGATGAATAGGATGAACAATGTTTGTCATTTCCTGGGACGAGACAACATGTAAATCCCCATTCTTATGAACGAAATCCAATTTAACACGGTTGATACGCTAAGCAGAATATTAGTACAAGGTGATGGGGACAGAAATGAATATAAATGAAATTTTTATGAATTATTTCGCTACTGTGTAAAACGTGAAGGGGAAAGGAAACGCAGCGTTTTATCGGCCGTAGCAAATAAAAAAACTTTTTACTTTGTAACGCAAAAAGAAAGTGGAAAAATGGATCTATGAATTAACAGTTGCGAATAAAAACAATTATGCATTAAAAATTAAATATTTATATCACATTTTAATCCTTTAAAAAATTGATATATTATTTTTTCCTGTGTTTTTTCTATTTAACTTTAAATTAGAAAGAATTGTGATGCTATCAATTACATATCAAAATATTTTTTTGATGCAAGATCTTCTAATTTATTTGTAGAGCAAGAGCCTACTGTTGTTATGTATTTCATCAGTGATATAAGATTTACTTCTTAAAGTCTACACACACACACTTAAATTCTCGCTTATTATATCGTTAATATAACCCACTTTGGGGCCCACGATTTTAGATAATCAAATTATTTGGATATCGTAACTCTAATTAACATTTTAGTTAGTGCCTTAAGTAAAAATTATTTTTGCGTGAATATCGACAGAACTAATTGAGAGAATTGACTAGTATAATTTAAAAATCTTTAAAATAGATAGAATAGCTAATTACGATTTTTAGTTACGCGTAATCGTGGGCCCCAAAGTGGATTATTTCCATCTTTATTTTTCCCAGAGTGAAATCTTTCATGAAACATCTGTCAGAATTGTCTGTCTAACACCCCCGCAATATAATCTACAAATAGCATAATAGTTCCATGATATTTCTCGAATATTCTTCTAGGTCGTTGACCATCCGCGTATATTGTCTTTCTCCAAGGAAGAGCTCTCTTTGTAATCGGATAAAATTACCAAGAACAAATAAGCCCCCTCGAAGAAACGAGATTGGTAATAAAAGCGAATGAACGAACGAGCGGTATAAAGGCGAATTGATTTTACAATTCATTAATATCGTCCTGTTTTAAGAGAGCCTTTCCTACTCTCCTCTTGCGCACTGTGAACGCGTGACAATAGTCTCAACGACGCCGCGACGTATCAATTATGAATATAATCAGTCCCTCTCACGTAATCGTTATCCGTAATACAATTTGCGATCTCTTGAGTTGACAAGCTCTCCCTCCTCCCATCTTTCCCGCTCGTTTTTTTCCTTTTGCGCCAGTTACTCACCTCGACCCTTCTGCACTCCGGCTCAGTTAAATGCATATATCTCCTCGCGGAGTAACTCTTTTTAATTTAAGACGCGGACTCGCGAACCGTCGCCTCCACTATCGCATTTAATTTCCCAGAAGACGCTTAATTAACGTCAGAAAGGGATGAACCGTTAGATCATAACACACTTTTTAATCGCGTCCTCTGCAAAATACCCGCGGCAGTTTCTTGGAAATCAGTTGTCAATGACGCCGCGGTCTAAAAAGAGAAGTTTGATTCCTCTTACATTTTAACTTTTGCAAAGATCATGGATGATTAATTCTGACAATCTTTTAATGAGCATATTGCTATCTATTTATCGCAATTATAATCGCAATCATAGTCGCAATTATAATCGCAATTATAATCGCAATTATAATCGCAAAATACACCGTCAACAAATCGCATACATTATAGGCGATTTGCGTGTTACAGGAAGTTTCACTCACTCATGGTTTTGTAATCAATGTGATATAGCGATTAAAAATGTGCAATACAATTAAGCATATAAAATGATATAAAATTGTGTAATTAATATAATTTAAAGGCAGGTGGTGAATTTCTGTTTGCACAATAAATCGCTGAACTATATTAACTATATAATATTGCTTCAACTCGGTCGGACGCGAATTATAAAATAAAAAAAAAATATGACGGAAATGTTTTCTCTTTGGCGAAAGTTTATCGACGTTGACACACGATAAATTGGGAGAAAAATGATTCAGGACATTTAAAAGTTTGGTACACGGTATACGTGTACATAGTCAACACAACACGGCCACGGGTGTAAAAGCTGCTTTTCCATCCACGTTTAAGATTTAATACGCTGTAAAAATTTAACATTTTTCAGATCACGTTATTCTCAGTATCATGTTATTCCCAGAAATGATCAAAACTATTAGTCCTATTACGGATAACGAATGCATACATTCAATGATTAAATTATTCCGTCAACTAAATATATCCTCTCATTAAAACGCGATATTAGCCCTACGAGCACAAACACCAATTCCCAGTATTTGATGTGCAGGTGCTTCAAATATATTATATATACAGACGCATTATTTATATTTATATTATGCAGATATATTACCTATATTTATATTTTCTAAATTATAAAATAAGATGATGCAAACAGTAACGTATAATTTAACATTTCCACACATAAAAGATTAAATATAATTCATTAGTTATATTGCACAGAAAATAAACACTATATTGATGTATGTGTAATTTTATGCAATTTTATTACATGTGACGTAATTGCATTATTTAATCATCTTCCACATATAACTAACGAACTGTGTTAAAAATTCTTTTATACTTTATGCTTTTTTAAAAATACGTGACATATACCTTTATTTTTACCAATTTTATAGCAGATAATTTTTCTATGCTCGCGGAGAGAAATACGTGTCCCCCATCCTCAACTACTTTAAGCTCATCAGACCGGTAAAGAACAGTTCCCCTTAGTTTCCGTATCTCGTATAGATCAGTGAAATGACTGAAATGGAATTTTCTCTGCGGAGTCGAGCGCTGATTTGTTCGAGACGCGAAAACTTTCTGCGAATTGGCGAAACTTGACGCGACGGGGTCGTTGCTAAGAAACCTTCATCCCGACGAACACGTACGACTGGGTCATGGTGCCGGTATCACTCGATAAAATCCTTCCCCTTCCCGTCGTCGTGGTATCGAAGTTCGCTGTATCCGTCATGCGAACCACCCCCGCCGGCGAAATATTTCTAAAAATACGCATCATCGTGCGCAGCAGGAGACGGCCGGCGGCGATTGCAATGCCTCGCGACTCGCATCCTTTGTCGCGTTACGAGCCTTATCGTCGCATGTATATGCTCTTTCTCGTTTAATCAGCCGGGCGCGCGTAGCTTCGGCTGTTTCGAGATATACGAAAATTGATAACAGCAATACCCGACATTTCGTGAAACTTTTTTAGCAACGACAGATTCCCATTGTCTTTCATATGTAGATCCTGAAAAAAATAAACTTTGAACGTGCCCGTTACGTCTAAATTTTTAATCTCTTCGTTACAATTCCCAGTTAATGTAGTCTTATACAAAATTTTTTATCAGCTAAATCAACTTGCTTTATACACTGTTAAATTCCGATTAGAGTCAAATTATATTCAGAGAGTTTCAGTCATTTTTAACCATTCTTATAGATCGCCACTGCTCCCACTCAATATATTGTTGATATTGTTATCTGCATACTGACATTGTTGTTATATTTTAACCAAACCAGTGGAGTTAAAATAATACTGTTTTGTTTAAATAAAAAATATCGACACACGTGATAGTTGTTTATTTTTATTTAAAATAACAAAATGTTATTTGACTCAGGGTATTGGTTTAAATTTCACCCTTTGATATTTAACAGTGTACACTTTGATACGCTCAATACCTCAATACTTCAGACTCACATATTTTATTTGTTTCGCAATAAATTTTCATCCGACGCCTATTTACAAACTTCTATATAACAAAATTCCTTCATTATTGTGGAAAAATTATTTATCGTTTGTCTTTTTCATTTTTTAAAAGAAGTGGATATTACAACAATCTCATTAATTGGTTCATTTATAATTGATGTTTATATATAAATTACTAAATTATTTACGTGGACACTTTAAAGAAAAGAATCTCTCAAATTATCTCAAAGAAATTCACAAACATGGAATTCAAATAATTTATCTCGGGGAACACTGCATAAGATGATTCTAATGAGAATAAATAATGAAATTCTGTATACATATTGATATCAAACTTGTTGGCTGTTTCAAATGCAATAAAAACATAAAAATGAGTTTATGGAACGGACCCGCTTAATAATTATAAAATATACGTGCGATGACTTATATATTCATACATATAATCCATTTGATTATTATATTCTTTGTATATTATAGAAAATGTATACTGTCTTCATCTCAAGTCTCCATCAAAAACCGAATCTTATCGATCGCAAAAATTTCGCGCGTTACGCGTATTGCGAGCATTGCGACAGGGGCTCGATTCTTGAATTTATTCGCAAGAGAAACG